CTATAGACCACTTTCATAAATGGCTGCCGGATTAATATTCTTTTGTTTAAATTTAAATTTGCCTGGGTGGCCTCGCTTGAGATAATGTATTCTTTTGAATTTTGTACTGGAGAACGAGGCCACCTAGGCAAATTTAAATTTAAACAAAAGAATATTAATCCGGCAGCCATTTATGAAAGTGGTCTATAACCCTTCCCTCCCCAATATTCCACACAAGAGCCAGCGGTGGTCAAAGGGAACTTTTTTTTTTTCTAGGAAAAGCGTCTAATGATATTATTTGTAAATTTTAAGGGGTGACCACTTAGTTCTATTCGACAAGATTTCATGATTCAAACAGGGGACCCTACAGGAACTGGGCGTGGAGGGGCTTCTGTGTATGGGTGAGTCTGGTCTCCCCCCAAGATTTTTTAAATGTTCTATGCATTTTATTTGTTTTTGTTAGTTGTCTTCTGATACCACAACTCTTCTAAGATTTAATAACCAGTCTCCTTGTTTGACAATAACATAATTTTTTGACAATCTTACCTCAAATTTATAAAAGTCAGAGGACTACAAGCCAGAAAGCCCACTTGAAATGCTGAGTTCCATTAGTTAGGAGTGGCAAGATGTACTTCTTTTCATAGCTAAACATGGACTCATCAGCTTTTAAAACTTTCCTTCTTTATACCATACCTTTTAGTGTTTTAGATTGCTTTGAGCTAGCAACTGAAGGCGGCAGTTTAGAATATTTAAAAGAGAAGTTTACAATTCTTTTTTCAATGTCCTAGCAGTACCATGCAGACATGCACAAAATTTGATTTAAGATATTCTTGTGGGCAGTGGAGCTTCATTCGTTTTTCATACCATCAAGAACTGGTTTTCAGAGAACAACTAGCCCATTGGAACAGTAAGCACCGTGATTTTGATCTAATTTCATGAGCGTAGATCACCAATCACAATTGATACCCTTTTCTTCTCATTTTTGCAGCACTGATTTTCAATACTTCTTGACACCACCTGCTACATTTTTTAGTGAATTGATTAAATTAACACATATATGTTATATAGAGGCCTGCATTTGAAGATGAAATTACAAGAGATTTAAAACACACAGGGGCCGGAATCCTTTCAATGGCAAACAGGTAAACATGCTTTACGGAGCTATTATCAGCAAAATGTGACGTTAAGTCGGTGAAAATGGATTACTTTCATTTGTAAAAAAACAAGTCACACAAACAAGATCTTACGTCTTCAGAAACGTGCCCTTCGCCTCATGTTCTTCTGTGATTATAAAACTCACGCAGTACCCTTCTTCATTTCTTCCAGTTTACTACCTCTAGATATTATTTAATTCAAGTCAGTTGCCATCTTAAGGCATGACATCTCAAATAACACATTGCCACCTCAAGTAAGTAATTTATTTATAATTACCAACATAATATTCATTCACATAACACAAGATCATTAACAAGAGGCAACTTTTTTCTTGGATACTCTAGATTAACCAAGCAAAACACGTCTTTTCAAGAAATGGTGTTAGAATCTGGAATAACCTATCTGATGAAATTTGTCAAATGCCGAAAGGGAAATTGAAATACAACATTAACAATATGTATATGTGCACAATCCTTCGCAGTAAAGCACTATTTGAGCAATAGTGAAAATCAGACCTGAAAAAAATTTCAGGCCTGTACGGGACTCGAACCACTGACCTCTGCGATACTAGTGCAGCGCTCTACCAATTGAGCTAACAAGCCAACTGGGAGCAGGCCATCAAATTAATTCGA